CTTGGGGATCCCATGGACTAAAGGATGGAAATCTTACTGACGGGAGGCGGGGACTCCACTTCCGGTTCATCTGAAACTCGCTCTAGCAGCCTCATGTGTGGCCAGAAATTGTGATTAGCGCAGCTTCAGGCGCCTTTGTTAGCGGCTACGCCTGGGGAACGGCTCCGGACTTCTTCTCCGTGCTTTTCCAGGTGTTTTATTGCTGATGCTTCAGGAGAACCCGTTTGGATGTTGGCTTTGGATCAGTTTGGATCTTCAGCATTAGTGAAAGGAGAACGAGGGGGTAAGTGTTTGTTTTTCCCCGTAGTTCTCTTTAGGGTCACGGAAGGACATCTACTAACCTCCTCCCGTCACCCAAAACTCAGTATTTTGCGGGATACTGAGAGCACCTATCTAGAGACAGAGCCAGCTGGGCCCGCCCCCGTCCATTCCTCCACTCAGTGCTGAAGGAGAGGGGAGGGAGGGGGGGGTGACTGACAATGTAGGGAGCGGATCGGGAAGTGAGCGGATCGGGGGCATGTCTCTGAGCCGAGCTGTCGCCTCTAACTATGAGGATGACGGAAATCACTTCATAGTTCTCCTTTCATTCCTCTCGCCGTGCTCCTTAGGGGAGGATGATTCTGCAGCTAAACTTTGTCTATGCAACCTTCCTTTTTCGGGTGATCTGCTTTTTGGGCCCGAATTGTAGGCAGTCCCGGAGTGCAATGCCGATTGGAATAAAAATCAGGCGAGTAAGGAAGATAAACCCAAGAAACATTGGATGGGGCATGAGGGGAAAGGAGCAATTCTCCCTCCCAGGGAAGGCTAGGGGGTTTCCTTCCATGCTGGGAAGAACTTACCTCCAACCACTTCATCTGGAATTTAATAGAAAAGGGCTACAAGGTGGAATTCAGCAGTTTTCCTCCCCATCAGTTTCTGACAACAAATCTTCCAGAAGATTCTGCCGGGGCATTTTGTCTTCTATCGGATGAATTGGTGGATCAGAGAGATCATTCAGGTTCCAGATTGGGAACTATCGTAGGTCGGGGTTTCTACTCTCACGTCTTCGTTGTTCCAAAACCTTCCGGCACCTTTTGTCTAGTTCTGTTGGAAAACGTTTGAATGGAGACATAAGAAGCAAGAAATTCCGGATGGAATCCATTTTTTTCACTCGGGACCCTTTTGCAGGCCAATGAATTGTTGGCAACCCTGGAGCTGAGGGACACCTATCTTCACATCCCTTTCCACCCAGCAGTTTCTGCGGTCCAGTAGTCTTCCACTATCGGAGCTCCTTCCTTTCAGGCTCTCCTCAGCCACATGTATTTTTTCCAAAGTTTTTGGGGGAAGCTCTAAGACTGCGGGGAATCGACATTCTCCCATCAGACAGTTCAGCAGCCACGCAGAGGTGGTTACAGGAAAACTTCCAGAAATCCAATCTACTTCCCTCACCTAACCCTAAGGTGACCTTCTTGGGATATGTGCGAATACGGTGGAGGGAAAGACAAAGATTCAGAAGATTTGTTCTCCAGCCGAGTGATCCAGTCTCCATAAGATTTATGATGTCCGTTGTGGTGCTCATGACTTCTGCCGGCCGTCATGCGGACACGGTTTCATCAGAGGCCAGTTTAGACTTGGCAGTCCTGCTTCCCTCTTCTGTGGTGGTGGAGAGATCAAAGACACCTGACAACAGGCTTGCCTTGGTCCATCCAGTCTTCCATAAAGGTAACGACGGACGCAAGCTCTTGGGGTTGGGGTGCCCATATGGAGAGTTTGGTAGCCAATGGTCAGTAGTCCCAAAGGGAATCAAACTGGAGGGAATTGAGGGCGGTACTGAATGTTTTCAGGAGAGGCTCCAAGGCCACCATCTTAGTATTGTCAGACCATGCAACAGCAGTTATCTACCTCGGCTAGCTCGGGGGTACTACGAGTCCTCTTCTGCAAAGTTTGGCCTCCTTGACTGCTGTCCATGTAAAGGGAACTCAAAGTTTGCGGACAGATCATTCTAGTCGTCATCCGCTTCTCCGTTACTCTTAAACCGTTTTTTTAGTTGCCGTTACTTCCGCGAGCTGCAAACCTTCTCTAACGGATTCGGCCTTCCGGCCTAAGATCTCCTCCAGTTTTCATAGATCGCAGGAGATTGTTCGACCTACTTTCTGTACCAATCCCTCTAATGAAAGAACCAACAACAGTCTCTTCATTGCCGGGGTGATTGGCGTTGCCGATTGCAGTACCTTCGGGTCTCTAAGGAATTTCCTGAATCAGATGCCTTTGTCCCCCGGAAAGTCTAAATCCTCTCTGACTGAGACATCTGACTAGTCTATTGGGGAAGCTTATGGTGCTATGAAGGTCCCTTCTCCATCCCTTCATTGGCTGAGAGCTGGTGCTAGGCCACAACAGATCGGTAAAGCCACATGCTCAAGCTTTTCTACATTCATTGGACACTTGGACCTGATTTCTTCTGGAGACCAAGCCTTTGGTCAAAAAGTTCTTCAAGCTGAAGTCCCACCCTAGATTGGTCAATTCTCCTATGCTGTCCTGGAAGATGCGTAAGGGAGTAATCAGAGTAAGACGTACCGGTAACTCTTTGCAGTAATCTTCCAGGACAGCGGGATTCCCAAGTGCTGAATTTTCTTGCAGTCTTGTTTTTCCTTCGGTTCTGTGTTGACTGAAGGGCTGAATGAGACGAGGTTCTGTTATATTGAATCATGTGACCCGTTTCCTGCTGAGAGGGAGGAGCCTCCATCTCTCTCATGCTGTCCTGGAAGACTGCTGGAAAGACTTACCAGTAAGACTAAGCCCTCGCTCACACCTGAACGCTTTGTAGCGGGTTCTACGCACGGCGAACGCTCTACAAAACGCTCAGACATCTAAATCCCGTTGTATTCAATGGTCTGGTTCCCACCTCGGCGCCCCCCCCCCCCCCCCC